CGCCACGCTACAATTGGTGAGCCCGACGTGATGATGAATTCCACGCTTTATTCGAGAAACGTTACCCTATTAACGATTCTCCTCGCTGACCCGGCTGCTTGGTACGGAATGCATACGCATAAGCATATCCGTCTACCACCCAGCACCAAATGGTTAAGTTGAACGGTTTCACTGCCAACTTAAAAGTGTTCTACGAGCACACGAAAACGGCGACTGGCACGAAACCTTACCGCTCGTTCTTTTAGGGGTGAGAACGAGTTTAAAGGCAGATATCCAATGTTCCGCCGCTGAACTTGTATACGGCACGACATTGCGTCTGCCCGGAGAATTCTTCACACCACGTAGCAGACCTAATTTCGGTAAATCAGACTACGTCCATCGACTGTCTGCATTTATGCGAACGCTGTCTCCGGTGTCAACTCGAATACAACATCGACAGGTCGCTCTCTATCGAGAGTTATCTACCTGTTCACATGTTTTCATACGAGTAGATTCGGTACGCAAACCTTGGCAACAACCTTACGAAGGCCCTTTTCACGTGATCGCTCGTCACGAAAAGACCTTCAAGGTTGATCGATATGGACGCATCGAGATCGTCAGCATTGATCGTCTCAAACCAGCACACGTCGATGACAGTGCCCTATCTGACAACATGAGATTCGATGCTAGACCTATCAAACCTAGCGGGATCCTTAAATCTTCTTCAGGTCCCACGCTAGATACATCTGAGACCTCATTCTCACGTCCCGGTCAACAGCACGCGTCATCTGCACCGTCTACGGACGAGACGACAGTCTCACGTCCAGATCAGCAGACCACGCCGCCCTTGACTTCGGATGAGATTGCAGGCTCACGCGACGCGAACGAGACTGCCGTCTCACGTTCCGGTCGCCGAGTACGGTTGCCCGTACGCTTCCGCGACTAGCCGCACAGTCAACTACCGATACGGTGTAGGATTATTCCTATACTACACGTATGCTACACTCTTCTTTTTTTGATTTTCTTTTTGTTTCCTGAGCCCACGCCTTCGACCATCTCCATTTGGTTCCGTCGACTTCAGTCAACTTTGGCGAAAGCTGGCCTGATCACCCACACTCTTGTCAACGTACTCAGTCGATATATTGGTTTCGAATGCTTGTCATACGCTTGGTCGTTACGGTCGCTTCTGGTCTTTTGGCTCAACGTGGTTTCGTCCTACGTCTGCAGCGTTTCTGGTGCGCGCCTCTACGAACGCCCTCTTCAGATTCTGGATAAAAACCACTCTGGTGTAGCATGCCAATTCAAGCAATAAATACAACACATCACTCCTGGTACTGTTCTCCGAAAACGACCTTCGTTGGCAACTCAACGATCAACGATCGCTTTCCTGTTCGCCAATTCTTCCGTCCTACAATCGCTCATCAGACGATCAGTCCCACGATTCAAACCGCTATTTATCGAAAGTGTAAACCCTTTCTAGCGGGGGGCTCCTGTAGTGACTCACGTTTATCACGAGAACACGACTGGTTTAATAAAAACAATTATTATTATAACCAACTGTACCAGTGTTTGTTTTAACGTGCTTTTGTTTGACTGTGCTAATGACAGCTATTTTGTGCTTCCATTCTTTTACTCTCACTTTGATTGTAACTTCGCGCGAATTCGGTTACCTTCTGTAACCAAGGTTGTATCCTGGCACGATCTCGGTATCCTTTCGATGCCACGGGATCGCCAGCAAATAAACATCGACTTGGTCCATTAATTGCCTTCTGGTATTTGGCTTCTCGGGGATTTTATGGATCTTTTTGGTTACGTCCAACCCTCGCCTTCTGATTTATCTGGCACGTGTTTCTTGGTAGCGGTGTTCATAGTTAACTTCAACTCCGACGCCACGCTACAGATCTGTGAAGGCTCACTCCTGTTGCACTCTAAATGGAAAAATAGTAATGAATTTAGTCAGAAATGTGGAATCGATAAATAACCAAATTACATGTTTTTTAGCAAAGAATTTATGCAGTTGTGATTTACCTTGAGTTCATGAATATTAGATTAGGTCAGCTACTATTACTTGTGCAAAGCATAATATGGACTTAGTACCGTATCGCAATGCTTTTATTATTTTGCTCTCATTTAAGTATGCCCATGCATCTGCATCTAGTTTAACAGGAAGACATACAAGAAGAGTTAGTGCCTGATAAACGAAAAGTTACAGTAGTCAAAAAGAGTCTTAACATTTATCCAAGCGTGCAACGAACGTACAGTGTAACGCAGTCATAAGTGGCGAACAAAAATTAAAAAAATGAGCAAAGTCAACGACATAATCTAGTTATTTAATTAAAAATACATTATGAAATGACAAAATCTGTGGTTGCTTAAATGCACAGATGACCCTAGGCGATACATTAAGTTTACATTGTTGCGTTGAGAGTAAATTCACCCGCCTAAATTCATGACCGGTCACAGTCTCTTTGACGATATAGGATACTGAAATTTAATGCGCGCGTTACGGCATTGACGACACTATTGTGTGTTTTTGTATGTATTTATTTATTACCATTGAGTTGTGTTTTGCTTTGTCACACTCACAATAGTTAGAGGGAATATCAATAAACAGAGGTCGCAACGGTTACGGACAGATTGGGGACTATGGACAATTCCTACGGCCTATATTATTGCTTTTCTAGTATGCTTCTATGAGTGTCCTGTCTTTTCTTGAATGTGCAAACACCACTTCACCGGTAAACAGCTTCCAAGAATTGATGACTCAGTGTAAAAACATATGTTTTTACACTGAGTCACATACATATGTATGTGACGGGTATTTTGTTCGTTCTTGGCTTCCCTACCCTCCTGCAATGTCCTCTAAGATGTCCCGTTCTAGTGAAAATAAAGAGTATACTGGGTCCAAAATTATTTTTAGTATTCTATACACCAAAATTAGATCATATCTTAGTCTGAGACACGGCAGAGCAAAGAGGTCTAGCTTTTCAAGCCTTTCTTTGTATAGTAAGTCCCGGAGTTCTGGAATTGCACGGGTAGCTACCCTCTGTACTTTTACCAAGATATCCGAGTCATCTTTTAAACAGAAGCTTGCAGCCTTGACGCAGTTCTCAAGCTTAGTCCTCACTAAGGTTGTGTATACTCTAGTGAACATGGTAGTAGCTAAATTAGTGAATGTCCGTCTTAAGACCCAGACGATTCTAAACCCCTTAGCTCCGACCTCCGGCAATGGGCATTGGTCTGAAAATTATGACTCACTGTCACCCCAAGATCCTTATGAGACAGAATGACAGGTACAGGCACTTTCCTATGCCGTACCTATTAAGCTCTGCATCCCAAAAGTGTATGTAGACACACTTTTCCTCATTGATAGGCGTCAGCCACTCTCCAGACCAGTTAGTCATATTATTTAAGTCTGCCCTAAGTGCGCATGCATGTGCGTCTCCCGTTGTTTCTCGCCAGACTTTTACATCGTCAGCGTATAATAAAATTGGGGACTGTACTATACTTGAGAGATCATTTAAATACGGTATAAAAAGTAAAGGACCTAGGACAGAACTTTGAGTCACTCCACCAGGTACTGGTCTCCAGGTAGAGAACTTGGGATTTATTCTTACTTTCTATCTGCGACCTACTAGGAAATCTTCAAGCCATTATAAGAGAGGTCCGACAATACCAAGATTAAACGTTACAGTTAGAAAGGGTCAGAAAATGTTTTGAGACTTACAGCCTTTCCATCTCCAAAACAGACTGGATGACGCTACTTGAAGTCTTAAAGCAAACCTTCATCATGTGGATAATGGCTGCATCAAATGACATTCTAGGATCAATTAGCTCGTAGTGCCCATCGGTCAATTCACTTAAAAATACACCTAAACACCTTTCGAAGGGTTTTTAATCGCTTCACAACAAAACAAAAATGTAGTGCACCAACAATATGTAGTATCGTTAGTTTGGTCATTCTTTCCACGTCTTCGTTGCCAGTGTATTTATGTCGAGATTTTGTGGGCAGAAATAGTGAACTGTGTTTCCTTGGGATTAGTGTCTGGGTATTAAGAGAGTGGTCGTAGTTACCAATAAAAGTAAAGTCCTCAAGGTATGTGGCATAAATAGTTGCCTCACCCAATAGTTTACTGACCTAAGCAGGTTGTAACGCGCATCAAAGTATCTTAGATCTACGTATGCATTACCATACGTCTTGTAACTTAGCACTAATTGTAGTATGAGAACCTGGGAATTAGTTGTCATCTTAAATAGTTACATGAATTGCTGTTCCTCAGGAATGAGTACTAATCACCAAAAGATATATCGAAAATGCATTTTGCAGCGCTACGGTGGTTTATAAACAGATCAACAGAAAGTAGAACTGCTGAGTTTTCAAATGGTAAATAAACCGTATTCCATGGGCTAACTATGCAGTAGTAGCATACAACAAAGGTGAAACAGACCAGCACTCTCGTTATATTAACTTAACCACTGACAGTACAGATTGTTTTCCCTGCGGTACAAAAATAAGCTTAACATTTAGCCAATTTTCTCTGGATGAACTGAACATTTGCTGATGAATAAATTATCCGTTACTAGAGTGAATCATTTTGCTTGTCAAGACGAGCAATCTATTTTATACGAAATTTTGTGTTCTTAAATGCAACTTTATATTAAATATTATGGTTGTTTCTTATGCTTTTTCGTATTAAAGGAACAGTACTTTGTGAAAGAAAACTCCCAGTATTTTAGCATCGCACAAGTAATAATTGATGACTCGTAACAGTATATTGCATGAAGTGATGCTTTTTTTGTTTGACCTTGTTTGGCGTGTGAGAACACATTTGATATTTCATTCGTATGAAGCATTTTTCCTCCTAAGAATTAATCGGAATTGACAAAGAAACATGTAAGATATATATGTATGAATATATAAAGCATCAGATTGCGAAATGTACATAGAAAACATAAGCTTTAAGAAAAATATATTGTACAATTAGTTATCTTTTTACTCTTGTTTATTATCAGCTAAATATTTATGAGGACTTATTTAAAAAAGATTGAACGTGTTCAGTTAATTGAATACATTTCATAAATTTAGAATTGTTTGACGTGGATAGTACAAGAGATGGTGTAGATTTTTGAAGTGGCAACTCAAGCGGGTTAAAATATTTTAGCTCGTCGTCATTTCCAGGCAACGCTTTGTAGATATTAGTGAAGTAGTGTGGTAATGGTTTTGTTGTTAATTCAGATGTTGGTTTAGTTTCTGTTTTACCGGGCGAGTGTTTCTTGCCACCAGGCTTTTCTAAAGGTGAATCTAAACTCTGAATGCTTGATGCCGATATTCTGCGTTTGTTTGAAAATTTCAGTTCAGACACATAACCAACAAGTTTATTGGTAGTAGAATTGGCATCACTAATTGGGATTATGTTGTCTGTCGTTAAAGACTTCTGGCCATCTCCGTCTACTTGATTAACTGCTCTTAACCAACGCATTGGACTTACAAACGTCAAACGCTTCAGAAGTTGTACAATGGGACTGACAACAGCTTTGTCTACTGAGTCTCTTTCACCGGACTTTTCCCTATAGAGAAAAGAGAAAACACATTCTGTTAAACCTGGTGAATTTCAACATACATATTACAGGCTATTTTCATTCTCATGAAAGCATAGGTATTATCTCGTTCTTTTAGTGAACAGTGTTGTCCATCTAAGTCTTGTTCAACAAATACTAAACAATCCCAGTATGACTAAATCTGATAATCACTGGATGGCTGGTCGCAAAACGCCAGCCAGTAAGTTAATGACATGTTATATTTGTAAACGGTCACTACCTAGTAGATAATGAATGAAATTTTTCCAGGCACTTAGACTAAACTGGGTAAAGTGAAGTTTGAATACGTAACCTAATAGTTTAAATTTAAGTGTCCTAATCACTAAGCTATTGCTCTTCAGGATACATTGTTATCTTACTTGGTATTCGTTGGTAGGTGTTTCCAGTAACATGAATCTAAGGCCTATCACATTTATCACAAGAGCTATCAATTTATAACGGTTACATACTACGAAGCAAACACTCAGTTTTGACTAGGATTTTTCTGTTTTTCACTTGGGAATCTTTCAGCCTCCGTAAATTAATATGCAACCGAACATCCATCAACTCGATGTTCTCATCTATCACTTGTTTAATATTAGTGAAAACTATATAAGTTCAAAGAATAAACTTACTCATGAGAATGAATATTTGAGTTTGTTTGCTCGGAGCTATTTTCCAAACTATCATTTAATCCATGAATACAACCTTTATTTTGACGATAAGATAGCCAACGTTGAGGGTTAGATGACGCAAATAATTCTCTGTTAATTGTTGAGTTGCTTTTAGGAACTAATTTTCCACGGATAATAGGTGTTGCAGGAGCGAATACATCGTTATTGTTATCATCGAAAAGTGAAAATGTTGGAGAGAGCGTACAGCCGGTCTGACTGACATCTTGCAAAACATTTGCTAGAGTACTACCTTCAATATTACTGTTGTCTAAGCAATCCCCATTACTGGTAGTTTCTTTTAATGGATGATCAATGTTCAGTGATGAACAATTAGACAGATAATCTTCTAAAGCCAGCAAACCATCTTCAGAGCTTAAGTCAATGTAATCATCCAAAAATTCCCAATATTCATACCAACTTGTCCCGAAAACACGTGATAAATACCTGGAGTAAAAAGTGTATTTACTAAGAATTTTCGGATACATAGGATATGCACATAAAAAACACGTCTATTTAATAGGCTTCAAATTGCACTTTTCACGTGTAGACTGATTCCACTACTCGACTCCACAAGGTTAAGCATGTCGAGAGTCGAATGCTTTTCAAAGTACTCCTATTGATAGTCGTATGTGTCGAGTTGTTTGGTGGTTTAAAGCATACGAGGTCACTACAGTCGTCTATAATTCCTAAAATAAACCATTGTCAGAACTAGAAGTCAGATTAATATCCATTCAGACGTATAAACAAAGTTGGTTTCTTTTATAAGGCGTTCTATGAGTTCTCATAAACAAACCAACTTACCGTCCTTGGCGTTCATATCCTTTTTCCGAATCAATTAGACGAAGATGCGAAAAAGATCTGTAGTCAACAGCATTTGGTGCATTGTATTGAAGCCATTTTTTTTTAAATTCAACAGCCTATAACAACATGAAAATTGGGACGGATTAGGCATCATATATAGTTTCCTATTTTGGGAAGTTTTACAAGTTGATGTTAAACATTTAACAAATAATTAGGTGAAATTCGACTCGTATAGACTAAATCACTTTTTTAGGTCGCATTACTTCCATCCAAAAGATTAGGTTGAATGACATTGTTGATATAATCCCCACGTAACAAAGTGATTAGTGCCAGCGCTTATGCTTGAATTCGATTCACATAAATCCATTCACAACTAAAAGTATCAGTTAAGGGCTCTGACATCAATTCGGTTAAAATTGGATCTGTGGTTAAAAAGTTGGTAATCTGACTGCAGAACTGGGTTGACCAGGTTTGGATCTGATGGGATGTATTAGTTTCTTTAGGTTTGCAGATACACCCTACCGATGAAAACCAAGCACTTGTTCTAGGTCCACGGATTGTTGCTGACTGTCGTTAGCTATTTAAAACGAAATGAATTACAGCACTACGCCGAGTTAGCATAATCGATGAAATATGACACCGTTATATTGTTCTATTTGTGTGTTTTGATTAGTTGGGGTAAAAAACGCATGAGAATCAAATGAATGTTTGTAAATCGAGAAGCATTTTTATGAATTAGATTAAATCTCAAATAATTCTTACGACTAAGAAATATCAACTAATAGAATATGAATAAGGGCTCTCTACATTACAGTCCAGATTTGAATAGTCGACTTTTTACCCCATTTTATTAAATTCGGTGTACAGTAATTGGAACTTTCAAATACTTTAAACTGTACTGAGTTATACTCTATTTTCTTTTGAGCACACATTTATCTCTATCCACAATTAAGTTTTAGGAACCAAGGTGAACATCAATGAGTCTGAACAAACATATTTTGAATAGTTTCTAATAAAAAATTGGGTAGTTGCTTTTAGATGAACTAAAAAGATTTCATCAGATAAGTGGGAAACTTACTCCTACAGTACTAAAAGTTAAATCAGAAGTATTTGTTAGGGCTTGTGGAGCTTTTGTTAAGCGGTAGCTCAGTATTTAGAGCAATCAACTTATAATCATAATTCCCAGGTCTGAACTCTGAGCCACCTTCTTCGGTATGTGCGGCCAGGTAATATCATTAGTACTAACGCTTAGTGTGGTCCATAGCCAAGTACCTGGTGAGTGAGTTGGTTCATAAAGAATTGCCTGGACATTACCATTTAGTAACAAGATTGACCATTTGCAGAAATACCAACAAAGAAAAAATGCAAACGCTTACAAATAAAATTCATACCCATCGCGCAAACTAGTGTCCATCTTAACTAAGTAGCTAGGCGGATAGCCAGTTGGTATTTGAAACGAAAAGTACTGGGCTACAATCTCAGTATGAAAATCAACACTGGGGTACAAGTGAGTTCAACTGACGAGTCCTGGATGAAACAAAACACACCCTGGATTCCACCGCTAGCCACTACCCAAATCTACCGTAAATTGAGAACACTGCTATTAGACAATGTATGGATTATCTAAATATCCTCATAGCATGGTTAGACTTGGCACAGAATTTTTTATAGGATTTAACGAAAGAGAAATTCAACCAAAAGTCACAGGTTCTATGCATAAAGTCTAATCTTTTAGTAAGTGATCAGCGAATAATCTGTCGCTCCTGGATGGCTTTTGAGAGATAAAGTGCAGTAATACACAAAATAAGCAACTCTCTGACTAAGGCTGTGAAATTGATGCTTATTGTATAAAGACATATGCCGGGAAAACTGGAGTAATTTGTTAGGATTGCTTACCCAATAATAGTTGAGTGTTGAGCACATACATAAAAAGGATGACGAGACAAACTGGCCATAAAATAAATTGTGTTTAGGGATTGGATAATATTTGTACTGTTTGCAATAACTGGTACAATCTAATAATCGAAATTGGACGTCGAGAGTATAGGATACGCATTAACAGTGACAACTAATGATCTACACACCCTAATAGGAGGTTAGTGCAATAAACAACCTGTATATAAAGTATGGATGTGAGTTCATGTTTATTTATTTAAGTATAAAGGCACGACTCTTCACTGTCAAATATTTATCTAGCATCATGATAAGTACGAGCTCTCAAATTCGTTGAGAGATGTTAAAAGCATCAAGTAATAAGAAGTTATGATATGGTGTAGATTTGAAGTGCTATACATTAGGATTGTACCGAAGCGAACTGAAAGTGTGTTTAGTCCCGAACAGGATGGGGTATGCGTCCTATAGTATGGTGAAGTAATTTCAACTTTGAAAGCAACTGTGCAACATAACACTGAGAGACGGAATCAAAGCCTTTCTGAATTTCCACTCGCGGTATCCTGAAAAATGCAACTAATTATCGTCCTAATCAGGGGAACTTCATTCGCAGAAACTAGGTCAATAACAGATTCAGAAAAGCTACAGTCTAACCGACAAAAATAGTAGCCGAAATCTTTAAGATATAACAAATTTCGATACAGTAGGAATGATTATCGGTACTACACATAAGGATAGAGATTTTTACTACTTTGACCAGCGCTTCGATAACCAAACAAATAGGTTAGATACTTTAGTTTCAAAAAGGGATTGGTCTGGAACCGCTATTGAGTCCGAATTTTTCGAATGACAAGTAATTCGATCACTAGGTGACATATATGCATTCCAATGATAAAATAACAAGCACAGCATATGAGTATAGATTTATCACAAGACTGCTGGTAAATAATAAAAACTTTACAACTGAGACAATACTTCCGACATTAAAACTTTCAAACTTTAAAATATCGTGACTGTACATCAGTAATTCTAATTGATTAAATCAGACAAGGAATATGTCTAAAATAAGAAACATTTAGGAAGATATTACTCAACACAAAAAGTTTTCTTAACAAGCTTGGCTCACTGCATCACTCGGCATTGGTCCTGAGAAGCCTCGTAACCGGTGAACATTGCCATTAATCTTAACTTTGAGACAATCCCCATTCTCCACCGAACTCCTGAAAAAATAATATTGATTGTTTTGTGTAGGAAATGGTTTCACATGGGTTGCATTTTTAAATGTTTTACACGAATTCCGTGCATACAACCCTAACATCGTTTGAAATTCACGCGTGTTCAAGGGTGCTAGTATCCTAGTCTTTATTATAGCTGGTTCTGAAATCTCCACATCTGCTAATACAATGTAACTACAAAACAAAATAAGAAAAATGAAAATTACACTTGGTCAGACGCATTATAATATCAGCAATAATTAGAGACTCACGATCTCGAGGAAATAGAATGTTGATTTACTGGTATGTCTAAAAAGCACGGAGAAAAAGTGATTAACGGTCAACGTTCTCCAGAACAGTAACGTAAACAAAGTAACTGGATCGTATGTTCGGCTACTTATAGAAGTGAAATAAAAAAACCACTTCTAGAAATCTTTATGACGATTGCACTGCACGTCTACATACTTGAAGTAGATTATGTAACATGTACATTTCGCTCGAATACATTTTTAATTGATTGTTTTAGGCATACAATATTCAACTTTTAAGTCACAAATGGAAAACACACTTTGTCATGATAAATCTAATAGTCATGATTTCTTATGAATCATTTTAAGGTCTAAACAATAAATGATTTAAGTTCGTGGTCAACATGCTCCATTACAAGACTGTCGAATTTGAATCCGTTTTCATTTACTAGTAGGTAAGTACAAGTTTATCTACTCGGTGTTGAGTGTACTCTTGGTGTAAGGTTTTATGATAACACTCAGCTGCTCAAACCCAGTGGTCGAAATATGGATGTGATAGTTGTCTATTAGAATTAAAATCATACTTTTCAAAAGAGAAGCGGGATATTTTTGATTACGCACCGACATAAGCAGGGAAACCAATTATGATCAAAGAACAGTGTTTTATCTTCACTCGGTGGGACTTATTACTATTGCAAACAATTTGTAACCTAAACTGGATTGATCTTAAATGGTGCTAAAAGTCTAATAGTGAACACGGTATAGTTCAGCCATTAAGTCGTAATACAATGGTCCGTATTATTGAATTTCGTCGATCCACTGTTTATTTGATTGGATTTTATCGAATCGCATCACTTGTGGCGTAGGTGAGATATCTATCTTACAACCACAGGGCGAGTTTGTTGCCCAGTAGTTCGCTCCGTTCTACTTTATGGGTATGAAACATAGCCAATAAGAATAGACGATATTCGTAGGTTACTGGTATTCGATCATACGTCTTCGAAGCATTGTTCGTGTATTTCGGGACCACGGAGTAAACAATGTCTGGGTTAGAAATAGAGTACTAGGTGAAGATTGGAAACCAAATGATGAGGTAGTAAATCTTCGTCAATTGAGGTGGTTGGGACATGTGTTACATATGCCCGACTACTGCCTACCTCGACGAACAATGTTTTCCGGAGCGGGAGCAGGCTGGAGAAAATCTAGAGGCAACCAAATTAAAACATGGCATAAGTCCGTGGAGACATTGACTATTGGAATGAACCGTGTAGATAGGTACAGACCACCCGTTTAGGGTACGTGTGATCATCGTAACGAAATATTAAAAACTCTGAATCATATGGCTGAAAATCATTTGCAATGACGCAGATGTATTTACTCTTTGTCATCGTTTGGATCCCAAATTCTTAAATTCCTGATAACTTTTTTTCATTTCGAGTTAAAATTCACTCACTCAGATTTTACAAATATATTTTGCCTCCTTAATGTTTTACATTAACTCCGTACCCAATCACTGTGAAACTGTTCGTTCAAATTTAGACGAAAGTTCTGATATAGGAATTTTGGCAGTTATAAAAAATTAGGAAATTACGATATTAATATTAAACGTGCCAGTATTGAAAAATAAAATCAATAAAGACCCAACAACATTTGAATAATAAGAACTAATTGTACCTCTCATCAAAAATCTGTAGAATTCTATTAACAATGTTAGTGGGACAATCGAAATCCGAATGGGGGATTTTCTCTTGACTGGTCAAACGAGTAGCAGCCAAATCTACAGGCGTATGACCTGCAAAGTTACGAGGGTCGAGCTTTGTTAATGGATGACGTGCAAGCATGGAAACACATTCAATATGCCCATATTTACTAGCGAAATGTAGGGGAGTTTCAAAGTTCTGTAAAACATAAACATTATATTTTAACTGAGTTGGTACGTTTGATTGGGCACTGTAAGAAATTTGAAATGTAGTTGTACAGAAGTGAACATAAAACTGAGGAAACCGTGAATGACCGTTTACGAATAAATAAAAGCTTAACACAGATCAAGAAATTCAACTACCATATTACGTGAATTTTATCCCGATTTATTCTGTGACTGCAAACTGAGGATTTACTCTGCAACAAAATTTGTTCTTAAACTGTTCCAACACTTTCAGGAATAGTAAAAACCAAAACGACTTTGTCGAACGCTTTATCCTTGACTTTATTTAAGAATAAATGTAAAGGCTATTAGTGTTTTACGTCCAGTACACTAATTTGGGTGCAGTTCTTGAGCTACATGTATTGTGGGATTGGAATTAATGTGGTAAATGCAAATATACAACTAAAATATTTTCTATAAAACATTGCCGTTAGATTTCATTCTCTTATTTTTCTAGAAACGTTCTAGGTATTATGATACGTTCTATATGGAAAAATATATTAAGAAAAACAATAAACAACTCGTTACTGATGTGAGATAACTCAGACATTTTAAGTGGAAAATTTTTACAGAATATATATATATATATATATATATATATATATATATATATATATATATATATATATATATATATATATATATATAATTCAGAGACAAGTCTTAGTGAATCTAATCGGATTTATGTGTTGGCCTTCTGAGGGGAGATTCAGGTCTTTCATGAACCTGATCTCGGAAAAACTTAGTACAATATGACAACTATGCGTTTTCGTGCGACATATAAATTGCCAGATTTATTCCATCCCTCATGAATGCGTCTAATTCTAGTATTTTCAGCAACACATACAATACGCATACATGACAATTTCCGTATTTAAGATATTTTAAGTCCATCGTCAGTTTTGTTTTTACTTACCTCGAACTATTTTCAATCGCAGATATTTATACGTGACAACACAAAAACACTATGAAACCGAAAAATTATTGTCCACGATGTCTTGTGGTGAAAATTATTAAATATCGACAGTTAACTCACTCCAAGCTCAGGACTATTCAAATACAGGTCTAGAACATACTGTTGACGCCAATAAGACGCTTCTTTAGATGCACCTGGATACAGACGTTCCCAAAATTTATCAGAATCAATACAATTTAGAAGAAACTGAAGCAGGTTGACGTTGCCTTTCGAAGCAACCACATGTAATGCATTATATCGAAAGCGTATCTTCAGTTTGACGTTCGTTGTAAAAATGATCGGAAAACATGTAAAACAACTATGTAAAAATATCGTTTCTCATGTAAGACCAACGAAAATTGAAATATAACAAAAAGATGGCGGGTATAAAGGAGGAGAATTAAGTATATAATGAAAGAATGGCCACATTAAAAAAATTAACCAATATGATTAATTTGATCCCTTATTACTCAAATCCTTAAACCACCAAGTTATCTTTGGTAACGATGTCAGCATTCCCTATACTTGGCTTGAATATGAGCTTTTATTAGCGCTAAAAGTGAATGTAAACGGAAGTGATTTATAATCAGAACCTAATAGTTGAATATTGATACGAAATATCTATTTCGGGTTAATATTCAGAGCTTATGACAAGCTTTCATCGGAACCGATAAATTCAAGTGTTCCTCAAGGTTGTCCTTCTCCCTTACTTTTATTTAACCTTGTTGCAGACATTTTTTAGAGACGACTTTCACCGTCTGATTTATCAGCAATCGATCTTTTACCAAGGGATATACTTGTTGACTTAAAATACGCAGATGGTATGGTTCTGTTTGATGTTGGAAAATACAGTATTCTGAACACCTTATGGAACAGTGCAATGATGTTGGGAATGCATGTTACTTCAGGATCGGTTCAGGTCAACGCTTGAACTAATGATAGAGAGTAAAATAGTTGGATGTGCTGAGCAGTCCACTCATCTTGGAAGTCTCAGACGAAATCTCGGCAGGAATGCAGAAATACCAATTGGCTTTTGCCAGTTTACGTCACTTATGGTGTATATGCGATATCTGTTTGTCAACTAGAGGATGTGACAGTTTCTATTTTCAGTAAGCGCCTGGTGCGCGTTTAGATATGGAGAATGCGAAGTCACCAGCATGAACAACCCAACGTTAAAAAGCCTACCAATGATCGGCCTGATGATTTTTCGCCTTAGATGAACCGTAATTAGTTTGATATTGGCTTAATGTTTAATCTACCTTATGTTGACTGAGTTTTAAAAGTTTATATACACTACCCCGAGTAAGGTTTCACTGCCAAAAAACACCTTTTGACTTTTTAACACATGCGGTACTAACTTTATTGCCTACTGCTCACAGAAAATTCCTCTTGAGCTTCACTTACATGGGGTAGAAATATGTCATCCTTAGTTTTGGAAACTAGTACACAAGAGGTTTTATAATGCCCACGATTAGAAGATACCAAACTTCGTTTATTAGACTTTTGACCAAAATCGGTTTGAACTCCCAGTATTACTTTAAGCATTTTAATATCCTAGTACGTCTTGGGGAGCTATAAGTTGTGGTTTATGGTGAGTAGTCCATTAGAACAGCCAGATGACTTACAGGTCATGCGTAAGTATATATACATATATGTGCATGTAAGCAAAGTAAACAAAAGATCTACGCGACACGTCAACTTTCAAATGAAACTAGAGGATTGTAAATGTTCAAAAACTGAACTAACTTGCAATATTGTGGGTGTGTCACTAGTCGTTACTAAAATCATCGGGTTCTCGTCTACCATTTGTTTAACGACATCAACGTTCCCACTATCTAACATTGATCGAAAACGAATTAGGGTTTGTTGACTAGCACTGGGGTATGGACTGCTTTCAACATCAGCTTTGGGTGACTTAATTTTTGTATACAAAATATCCCAACTTACTGGAGGGTAGGGGTTGGAGAGATTCTCTTCGTCAACTGGAGTATTCGCAAACTTGTTGGCATCCACATGGTTAGCAAATAACTTAAGCCTAGCACCCGTGATACCACGTAACTTTAAATAAGCCCTCTTAGGATCCACAAAAACTTCACCTTGACCTTTACTCAAAGGAGAAGCCACAGCATAAAAACAAGCTGAAAAAAACTTCGCTGATCAAATGAAACTATTACCCTCTGACTGGCAATCGAAGAATTCGTCATCTGAATCATAGCCTGGTTTACTATCCATACCAGACACATGACTAGGACTAACCTTGACATTGAAATGTCGGTAATTCATTTTCAGTCCAACATCCAATATTTTCAGTCTTCAGTTATAAGGATAGTAGGTTGGTGAACCTGTATTAATCCTGACACATTGCTTTCCAGTGAAGGTTCAGCTTCTCCTTGAAAGTATTCATTGATGAGGCTGATACCACTTGTTCGGATAAGGCATTGCAATCATTGACTACTCGATGAGAAAAACGGGACCCCACTTTAAGTTCATTAGATCGTGGTTTACTAACCTTCTTGCTATGACCTTGGAGATTATTCGTGCCGGAGGGAGTGAAAAAATAAGACATATTAACACACAAATCATAATTAAAGATACGAAATGTCAGGTCACCTCGTGTCCTACGATACGACAAGGGGAAAAAATTAGGCGTTTTAAACGCTCATCGTAAGGGAGTCTAGAAAGACCGTTCACTAATTTCGTTCCGACGCGCTGGACACGCTCAAGGGAGTTAGTATCCTTTACCAGACATGTGCTAGCTCTTTGGATACAGTACTCTAAATATGGTCTAACATATATTTGATATAAAATTCGAAGCGTTTCCTCGTCGAAAGATTCGAACGCTCAGCGAAGTGACCATAACGCACAAAAACCTTTGACAGCGGCTGCTTTTTTTAAATCATGACTTAATACTACTCCTAAGTCTTTATGCTCTTGAACGCATGGAAGAGGTTTGCCCTCAATAGTATAACGGTAACTATTACCGTGACCGATGTGCATTAGCACACTCTTCCTAGTATTGATTTCTAAGCCCCATTCTCGAGCTCATCTAACTAAATCGTCTAAGTCAGCTTGAAGATCCAGATGATCACACGCCATTTTTATTGTTTTCCAGATTTTTACGTCATCCGCAAACAATAATGTCGACGACCTAAGTAACAGCGGTAACTCACTAACGTAGAGAAGGAAGAGCAAATGGCCGGAAATGGTGCCTTGAGGTACACCACTTTTGACCGGCTTCCAATCGGATATCGTTCCGTTGATCCTCACTCTCTGTCTGCGGTCACATAGGAAGTTGCCTATCCACTCATGTACGGTAACTATTATTTCGAAGCTCGTGAGCTTCTGCATAAGACCTACGTGTGAAACCTTGTCAAATACTTTGCTAAAATCTATGAATATCACATCGACAGACAGACCGTTATCTAGGGCTGCTCTCCAATCCTATCTCGCAATAAGCAAGTTAGTCCAGCATGAACGCTTGTTACGAAATCCATGTTGCTCAGGAGCTAACAGGTTGTGTAAGTCTTTATGGCTTAGCAACCTAACCCGAATTATCTTTTCAAGTAACTTAACGACTGTGATAGTTAGACTGACAGGCCGGTAGTTAGATACTAGCTGTCTCTGACCATCCTTAAATATAGGACTGACTATAGCGTCCTTCCAATCCCTAGGGAGTTGAGCGAGTGAAAAGGGCATATTGATGAGTGTCGCGAGCAGTTTTGATATAATGTCCTCAAAAGATGACAGCAGCCGTGGATGTAACCCGTCAGGGCCCGGTGTCTTACCAGGTTTGAGGTTAGTTATCAACGGAAGGACAGTTTCCTCAGTCACCTGTACAGATTCCATGGTTGGTATCTCGGTGTGAGTGGGACAAGTATTTGTTACAATAAACGTAGAGTAGACTTCACTAAAATAGTTTGAAAAGTTTCAGCTTTTGCTCGATCTGATTCAGCTAGTAAATCCGAATTTTCGTGTAACAGTAACAGGGGAATACCATCACTACGTTTCATTCGCCGTTTACCATACGAAAACAATCGTTTTGGACAAGTACGACTATCATGTCGTTCGTAAGTGGTACGGGATTTGGCTATGGTTTTCCTACAGATATTACGGAATTTTCGGTACTCACACTCAAATAGTGCATGATTTGTCAACAAGAATAAGTCCCAGAAATGTTTCCTACGCTTTAACAGCTTTCGGGTTTCCTTATTAATCCATGGAGGGCAATGTGATAGCTTACGTGCTGACCATGGGATAAACGGTGACGTTACGGACTCAAATGTATCCTTAAACTTATCCCATTCATCTTCGATCAGTCCATCCGTGTCGACTGACCAATCAGTCGAGATAGCACAGTTTCTGATTGCCGGAATATTGGCTAGCCAGTTATTGGGACGGGGTGGAGCAGATACGAATTGTATACCATGTGTCCTAAACCTAAAGTGAATTGCAATGTGATCGCTGTTCACTAGTGGGGGAAGGTGCTGAATATCAAAGACATCCACACAGTGGTGGGTGAGGGCGAGGTCCAGCAGTGATACAGTGTACAAGTGCACACCGAATAACGGTTTGTAAAAGGTCGCAATCGACACTCCACCTGGAGTTTTAGGTTCTATCCAGTCGATATGCAGTGCGTTGAAGCCCCCTTCATGAGACAACATTCTGCCATACTCCAAGAACAGATGTGCCTTAAGATAAAGTCGTCAGCAAGACAAAACGGACCACGGTATATTACCCCTATAGTCACTAACCCATTTCTAGATTTAATCTTACAACATGCTACCTCACATGTACCACTAACATGAGCCTCCGATATGATTGATTGTATGCGAAAGTGATCCGTAACGTATAACATTATCCCTCCCCCTTGCGACTTAAAACTCTATCACTTCTAATACAGATATAGCCTACAATGATGGGAGAACATTCTATATCTATTGTGAACCAAGGTTCTGTAACAACAATTATATCGGGACATAATTCTTCCACCATCAGACTTAGCTCGGACGTTTTATTTCTAAGACTACGAGCGTTCGTGTAGCACACACTTCAGGTGTTTTAGCAATCAATTGTTCTACCCATACAGGCTTCGGAAGCATTGGCTTCCAAGACCTGACTACCCGAAAACCCTTAATGGTAAGGTTATTTTCGCCATTTAATTTGCGAGTCCTCGACTCCGTAAGAGCGTTCTTCCACTTGATTCGATTCTCAAGCGGCCAATCTGGTCAGGTACGGATATTTGAGTCACGAGTTTTTAGTGCGTTTTTCAATAACATGTCTCCTTCTTCAAAACTCCCGAGAACCAGCTTCAGGATTCTTCTTGGTTGGGTCTCGCCTCCAACCCATTTACCAAGTCGTATTACTTCTGTAGTATGTACCCCTGAAACCTCTTCAGGTAGTACATTTCTTACCACAGACTCCACTAACTGCAGGTCATGTGAATGTCTTCTAGCAGGGTCGTTCTCTTTCGACTCCTTTAGATTCCAAATAATTAAACTAGGGAGGGGTTTAGCTTCCTTTGAAATTGTGTTCACAGCTTTCGACCGTGACGTTAGATCCTGTATTTTAACTACTGGTATCTTACGATTAGTTTTTATTGTAACAGAGTTTTGGGAGTTGAGCGAGTGACTCACAACAGTGTTAGATGATGATTTACTTTGAGACTTTGGCGGATTGGTCTGAGAGTCCATCAAGGACTTATCAATTAAACAGTTATTAGTTTTAGCTGTCTTTCCTACTCTTCTGCGTTTTCGCGTCATCCCTTTTCCACCAGTGGAAACGTCTACATTAGAACAACTCGGGACAGTAATTGTCTTATCTGCATCACTAGTCGCGGCTGTAGCAATACGGCCGCCAACGTCTAACGAGGTGTCACTCACTGATCGTTTCGGGAGAGAACGTTTAACTGCGGGTTGCACAGGTAGATGTCTGGCTTGCGCCATGACAGCACTTACGACACTAATGCAATCTTCGCCATCAGTACCAATGTTACCAGTACGGCCCTCATCAACCTTCTTATTAGCCAACATCAGGAGGCTAACTGCCTCCTGGATGAGTAATGTTTTGCTTGAGCAACAAAAACTACAAAATCAATTAGAGTTGAGCTTTGAGCACCTTTTATATGCAGTGGGGCTTAGTCGGGTGCACATCTTATGGAACCACCTATTACACTGATCACAGTGCATCCCTTCCTCAACGGGAAATAAGCAATATGGTTGTCCACATTTATGAGCAGATCCAGCCATCTTGAAAATCAACTACAACGGTGACAAAAACAGGATATGTAAAAGGATTCTCAAACCATAACTAAATAAATCAAGTAAAAGTCGACCAAGTATGCTTCGATGCAGTAAATACACAAAAATTGAAATCGAAACACTCAATACAATATCGCTTTAACTGGGGTAGATGCAATTAAAGTGTAAACTGTAGTTTTGATGCGTAATTTACGATCAAAATGTTGATTAACTCAACGAGAAACAACACCACTGTCCTTCTAAATATAAATCGCTTCTCGTTATTTCAGACGGTTCCACGTCTTTAGCAATATCGAGAAACTGGAAGTCGTCTGTACTGAACCTAGGTATATTAACGATAAAAGAAGAAAAAAGAAATTGGTAAACCACAGTAAAATACTATCCTTAGTCCTGAAGAATATATCAAGTTTCCTCCTAAAGGACTCCTGAGAGGTCGCTTGGGCTAGCTCAGCCGGTCGCGAATCCCGGCTTTTGACTACTCCTAAGGAGTAAAACTTGTGTTTACGATCCCTTCTGCTGTGTTATGTCTCCAGTTTCTAGGTGTTACCCCTTAGGTTTGTGTTGGAGCTAAACTTAAGTAGGCGTTTAACGGGGCGTCCAGGAGTGTTTAGGATGCTGGAAACCGTTAGAAAGTCACCTCTTAGGTGCCTATACCCCAGTGGGTAAAGATTTAGTGCTCGGAGGTGCCCTTCATAAGGCTTGAATTTGAGTCTCCGAAATGATTTCGTGGCTCGCCGTTGGATACGCTTCAGAGTATCCTTACCCTTTGAAGCAGCAAACGAATCGTCAAATGTAATAGTGCTGCGAATCTACAACATTGATGCCGGCGTCATCCGTTTCACTGGACACATCCCATCTGAAAGTGCTCGGTCACCCATCCATACCAGTCATGAGTAGGCAAGCCGTGCTATTCATCTCTTGCGACTATTGGCCAGCCTAGATAAAACACTTCTTAACATATTGGTGACCCGACAA